CACCAAGCCCCAGGGCAGTTGTCCCCCTTGCTCTCCCCACCCTCATCAGCAGGTATCTGTGTGTGAGGACTAATGGGGTAGTGTCCCCTGAGAGAACAAACAAGACTCCTATAATTAACAATGGGGATCATGACTAGAGGTTGCTGGATACGGGACAGCACTCTATCTTGCTCCAGCTCCCTATCTAGCCTTTGTTGCCCAGTGTCACCACAAGGATCTGGCTGAGTCCTGGGGTGAACTAAGTTGTCATGGAAAGTACTGCTGACTGCACTACAGCTAACGCCTAAGGAGGCTACAAGATAGCAAAGACAGTAACAACCACCTGCCCTGATGTTCTCGTTATGGAAGTACAGTAATTCTAGCACTTATCAAAGCTAGTGAGGTAAAATTAGTATTTAAGAGTAATCACAGGCTGAAGGAAGGTACAGTAGACATGGTATAGCCCATTCGTCAGTCTGTCGTAGAGGAGCTTGTTTTAATATCAATGCATAGGAATTTCGAGAAACTCCTGTTACTGCTCATGGGAAGTACACACAGTTAACGCATCGGGTCCCATAATCAGTGAGCAGAGGACAAGATTTATTTAAAACTACACAGTCTTACATGTGCTCTCATCTCCGGCTGAAATCAGTCTTACATGTTAAGCTTTACAAATTTCTATAGGATTTTTTACTTCTTTTAAAATACCACTGTTGGATATACTATCATCTACTCTTATTTTTGGGAATACTTTCTAATTTTGTTCCTTATTGTCCAGCTCTTCCTAATCAATTACAATTAAGACGTATCTTCATTCCACTCTAGCAAAAGCATTTGGCAGATCATTCACACTGCTACAGGCAAGCATGAGCTTAACAGTAAAGCAAGAGCAGCTACTATTAATCAAACTGTTATGTTCACGGAAGGCTTCAGTGTTCAACTCCACAAGCATTCATGTTATTTAATTTTTACTCATTTTCCAAAAGACTGATCAATAAATTCCAGAGCTATAATCAGAGAGCGTAGGAGCCTCTTGCTAACTTAGGAGAAGTCATCAAACTAGCTAAGTTTTATGTAGTTTTTTGTGAGTGTCCCCTATAGGTATGTCTACCTGGCAGTTGGCAGCTGAGAGTCCCAGCATGGGTACACATACTTGTGCTAGCTCTGCTTGAGTTAACGCATGAAATATGGCACGGACACTGCAGCTTAAGCAGGCATCTAAGATTGGACCTGGGGTCAGGTGAGCTTGGAGTCAGGTGGCTTCCTGTGCCACAATGTCAGAACAGATAATTTTAGCATCTGACCTGAGTCCATCCACCCTCGCTGGGAATCATACCTGACAGCTGCAATTTAGTTATAGTGGCTGCATAGCAATAAAGGGTGTAAGTTATTTACTTCTTTACACATATACTGAAATCAAGCTGTTTGTTTTAAAGTAAAACATTAGAAGAAAAATTTCCCACAAGTTCTCTCAATCAGAATTTTGAGGAAAACATAGGCTGCTACTATATTAATCAACTGTCACTTTAAGAGGGGTCGCTAAATCTCCAAAGAATTAAGCATCCTTAACTCCTATCTGAATTTAACAAGAGCTGGGGGTACTGAGTATCTTATGAAGACAGTCTAACATTGGAGCTAGGAAGATAAGTTACTGAAAGTATCTTTAAAAAAAATGCTTCCCCCAAGGATTCCATGAAATTGGCAGTAAAAGATGAAGGAGGAGAAGAAAGCCTCAAAAGGTCTGATACTAAATGAAGTTAAGCAGAAACATGTGGAGCTGCATACCAGAAGGAAACTGGCTAAGAGGCCAAATTGGTTCATCATGAGCTACCACAGGCAATCACAATCAAGCATAGGGCAGCTGCTAGTTCATCCAATACCAGCAATGGGATCCGCATCAAAGGATTCCATTAAATGCATCATTAAGCTTTTACACCACACAGTCAGAGCAGGGCAGGAACACCACTTATATTTTTCAAGTGATCAAATTCTGTATTCTGTATTCATTCATGTCTAAGACTCAATGTAAACCATGGTTTACATAGAACTGCATATTTCAACAGCAGGAAGGCAGAGTAATTTTTTCTTGTTGTGGAAAAAAAAATCTTAGCATTGAGTATTCAACTGCTTGTAGCAGGGATGGAGAATGGGGAATGTCAGTACATGCCACTGTCCATCTGGCTCAGCTCCAGCCTAGACTTCTTCTTGCCTGCTTGGATGGCTTGTGAGGAGAGAGGAGTGGCACTGAAAACATGCAGTGATTGGAGGCCCTTCCCCAGATGCCCCACAGCAGCTCCCAGCAGGCCAGGGAGAGACCACTTGAAGCATTGCTCCATCTTATCCAAAGATACAGTGCAAGGAAACAGTGTTGCCTGTCTGCATTTGTAATGTGGATCCCTGAACAGGGGGCAGGACTGTTTTGCATGCCAGGTCGATGGCTCTGAGCTTCACAGTGTTGATATGAAAGAGAGCTTTCTGACAGGCCACAAGCCTGAATTTGAAGCTTATCAAAATAAACTGCCCTATCCCCGAGTGGAGACATCTGTCACCAGAATCCAGGTAGAAATGCTTAGAAGAGTACTGTATTGCACACTTGAGCAGATGCTTCCAACAGTTTAAAAATAAGAAAATGATTTCTTGGGGGACCATGAACACTACGTGGATGTGGTGTTTCTTAGCTAGATATAGATTTCAACCACACTTGCCTGGAGCATAGGTGAAGTCTGGTTTGCTGTGCAACAAGTGCATAAGATCACAGAAACAAGAGCCAACATTTCACTAATGTTCTTGGGAGAGCTTGTAGTTGGTAGATGAGACCTATTATGAAATCTCTGCTGTGGGAGGTAGGCCTTGTCCTGGAGTCTAACACTACTGCTATGAGCTGTGTTCTGAGTGAGTCAGTGTGGATTTCTCCCTCTTTACATAAGGGTAGACTTGGATCCCTTATTTCTTTAGATGAGCTGCCAGGACCGATGAATATTTCTGAAACTAAGGAAGAGACCAAAAAGAGTAGATCTGTACTGTCAGAGAGATGTACCTATCAGGAATCTTAGGTTTTTGCTATGGGCCAGATGGATTAATACAATGAATTGGGCATCTTGCATGAATGGAGCAGTAAACCAGCCCTGATGATCCAATAAGAGGATTACAGTACGAAGATTTGTCATCCTGAAGTTGAAGTGTCAAATGAAGATTTTGAGATGTCAAAGGTCCAGGATGGGCTACAAATACCCTTTTTCTTTTTGAAAAAGAAAAAAAAAAAAAAGAAATAAAAATCTGTTCCTGAGCTCCAAGGTTCCATTGCTCCAATTTGTAGAAGGGGCCTACTTGTTGTAACAGACAAAAGAAGGGTACCCAAAATGGGTGTAGAAAGAGAGAGTGGGAAGGAAGTGGAGCAGAACAGGATATCTCTTGCCTGCGATCTTCAGAAACCAGCATTTTGAGGTAATTCTTGCCTATTCTGAAAATAAAGCATCTGTCTGAAGATGCTAGAAATGATGGAAAAATGTAAAAAAATGCTCTAGTAGTTTTCTGGGGTCTTCTATGATGGAATCAGACCTGCTGCCAGGTAGAAACTCGAGACTAAGGGATGGGGGAGCAGAAAAGACCACAGAAGGTTGTCCATGATGGAAAAACATGTCTCTTCCTCAGTGGCTGATGGCAACATTAGATATAGGAGGGCTGTCTAGAAGTCTGCTGCTAAGGTGCTCACATTCTCCTTGGGTTTGGTACCCAGAGGCCCTATACCAAGGTGCTTGGAGGGCAAGTTGCCTGAGTCTTTTAGGTGGGGCATTAGGGGAACCCATGCCCTCCTTCTCCAGTAAGTCCCAGCACAGGAACCATGTCATTGAACCCCTGAGTGGAGGGGGAGGGTTAGGGTTCTCAGGTGGGAGTTTAAGTCTACTGCCCATGGCTCCTTATTACTGTCCCTACAGTTTGAGATGTAGCCGGTGTACTCCAAATAATGGGAATTACTTGCCTCCAGGAGCACCCCCTTCATGGACCCAGAGCAGAGCCCTGCCATGATCCCTTGTACTCCAAATAATGGGAATAACTTGCCTCCAGGAGCACCCCCTTCGTGGACCCAGAGCAGAGCCCTGCCATGATCCTGGATTCTCCCTCAACTAAATCCAAAATCTAAGCTTCTCCCTCCAACATTCCCATCTTGAAGTCTTGCCATCAGCTTAAACTCCACTCTACCCTCTTACCTCATGCCACCCAGGTTGTGTTCAAAAGTCACCAGTTCTTCCTTCAAAACATTTCTAAGATGCATTCTATTCTTTCTAACCAGAAAAGAAAACTCAAGCCCTCAGTACTTCTCATCTTCATTACTGAAACCCCTCTCCTTCTCTCCTCCCTTCCCCAATACATTCAAAATGTAGCTGATAAAAATTACTTTCCTCACCCACTACTTCTAACTATGCTGCACTCAGTTACTTGTCCTCAAGCAAAAGGCCATTCATAAATCTGCCCCCACCATAATAACCATAACCTTCTCCATAGTCAAACCCCAGGCCCGGGCAAAATACAGCCCATGGGCCGGATCCAGCCCATTAATGCACTGGATCTGGCCCATGGATGCTGCAAGGAGCCCCAGGCAGACACCCTGCTTGCCTCGCCCCAACCACACACCACTCAGAAAAAGCAGCTGCCAGGCCATTTCTCTTTCATTACTGAGCCCAGAAGGGAGGGGGGAAGGCTTAAGGCACTGCCCCCACTCCCAGCACAATCCTATTGGCCTGTTTCTTGTAGTTATTCACACATGCACAAGGCCCTGCAGCCTGTGCGGGGGCAGGGCAGGGCGCCTGCCTGCAAAGTGTGCTGGAGCTGCTAGTTGGGAGTCACCCAGGTAAGTCTCCTCACCAGAGCCTGTCTCTGGCACCCCAACCCCTCCCTACATCAACCCTCTGTTCCCTTCCTGCACCTATATCCTCTCTCAGATCCGGCATGCCAATTCCGTGCCTCAGGTAACAACCCAAACTCCTGCACCTCAATCTCTTGTCCTAGGTCACAACCCAAACCCCTGCACCCCAGGTCACAACCCCTTCCTGTTGTAGGTCACAACCCAAACCCTTGCACCCCAATCCCCTGCTCTAGGTCACAACCCCTTCCTGTCCTAGATCAACCCAAACCCCTGCACCACAGGTCCAGTGCCCCAGGTCACAACCGCCTCCTTCATCCAAACTCCCTCCCAGACCCCACTCTCCCTTTTGCACTTCAATCCCTTTCCCTATGCTCCCTTCTGCACCCAACCTCCATCCCAGATCTTGTGCTTGCTCCATTAATATCAAAGAGTACAGCCCTTGACCACTTTCCAAAATCTTGGAGTGGCCCTCCCCCATCAAAAAATCATTGCCCACCCCAACCTAAGGTATAAATTGACCTGGGAATGTGGCTGGTCCTTTGGGATTGGTAGAACCTGTTTGGATTTGGTGAGAATGGTTTTCATAACTTCTCATCTGTGTGAGGTGCGGTGCTTGTTTTGGCACAGGTAAAGCTGGAGTGTGTAAGGGGGATTGCTAGGGTGACTTCATGCTGGTCAGAGTGGCAGCTTAAGTGTTCTTTATGACTGGTTTGGTGTGCCGTACAGAGGAAGGTCCCCAGTCTTGTGTTGTAAGCAGCCCTGTTTCTAAGCAATCTGCCCTAATAGGACCCTCTCAGCAGCGTCCCCAGAACCGGTCATATTACAAGCTAACATATCTTTAGTTAGAAAAAAATGCAAATATACATACACATATAAAAGTTGTATACACCATTCCCCTCCCCTTCGTATGTAACTTCTCTTTGGTTTAAGCTCTTCAGGGAAATGATTGTGTTATCATACAAGTTTAACACCACCTAGCACAACAATTTGAACAAGTCCTCTGGGCACTACAACAATATAAATATTAAACCACCATTACTATTGAATACTATATAAATACACATTCACGTGCTGACAATTTCATATCTTACTATCATATGGACGTTATCTTTAAGTATAAAAATACAAAACATGCTCATATCTAATTGATAGACACACACAGCATGCAAAACACATTTGTAATTATTTACTGTGAGCTGTAATTCCTTTCAGGGCATCATAATCCATAAGAGAATCCCAAATTGTATTTTCGGACCTTTTTTTTTGGCAGCAATCAACTTGGTACTCACCTGAAAGTTCCCCTTTCCACATCCTGCCCACTCAGTCGGACATGGATCCCTTCTTTCAGCAAAGATCCAAAAGCCATGTATTCTCCCAAGGCCCAATCAACAACTCTGTTCTTGGTCATTTCCAATCGGCTTTTCAAGATGCGAGAAAGTCCTATGTTGGGATAACAGTTGGGAATTAGAGGGCTAGCTCACAAATGTTTCACATGACTATTATATCCATCCCTCTCAGAATGCAAAGGCTGGGCCAGGAAAATGTGTCAAGTTTGAATGGATACTCCCACACTGACCCAGTAGTATTGGCATATCCAGACCAGCAATAGCACAAGTTTAAAAAGCACACAGATCCTAGTGCATCCAAGAACACATGGCCATCCTTAAAATACAGATTAAAATGAGGGGGACAGCAATAGCTAGCTTCTCAGGCAATAACTGACAGAGCCAATATTTGATAATATTCAACTATATCATTTATTTGTATCATAGTTTAATGATAGGAAAAAGAGGTTAGATATAATGTTTGCCATGAAGATCATTGTGCAACAATACAAAGAAGCCTTTTAAAAACAGATTTAGTATTATTTAAAGAAAATTAAAATTAAGAGACTAGAGTTTGTTGGTTCCATTTTTGTATTTTACACTATTAGACTTGTCTCAGTACCAACTTTTGTATAATTTGAAGTGCTTATGGATTTTGCACCAGCTGTTTTCCCTCAGGGAAGATCTTGTAATTTCTTTAGTTTTTGCAATTGCACAGAAATTTTAAAGGAAAAAAAAATCACAAGGTGCACCCTCAGTGACTTCCACAGGGAACGAAACTGAAAACTTCTTATGTCTGCGTATATCCATTTGTGAGAAAGCAAGCTCTGCAAACGGGGTGTCATTTTACTCTATCCTGTTTCTGCCTCCATACTGATGCTGTTAGGAAATCTTGCCAGTGGCCCCCCTTTGCAACACCTCCAAAATCCATCTCTGTTTCTCCCCATTCCTACCACAGAGGCCCTAGTCCTTGCCAAAAAGCACATCTCATTCCAATTACCACAACCGTCTCATCTCCAGCATCTTGATTCTTTTCTCTTTAGACTGCTTTGAATTGGTCCAAAATGTTCATCTACCCTGTCCGTTTATCCAGCATTTCCAACCCCACTGGACCTTCCTTCACTAACTGCTCAACACTCATTCTCTTCTCCTAAGTTCTCCACATTTAGCTTCCACTTCCACACAGATCTCACTTCATCTAACCCTTGTTCCTGCCCAGGTTATCCCTTCACTATCTCGTCATCTTCAAGTTGTCCCCCAGGAAGTCCCAGTCTCCTGAAAACTCCTTTTACAGACTCAAATCAACCAGTTTTTCAGCTCTCTTCCTTCAAACCACACCTTTCCCAGAAATGTCAATATCCTCTCTGTTCCTGATGATCAGATGCTCTATTTCACCACTCAACTATATACTGTTTTTAACATGCCAACCCATGTCACTAATTAGTACACTAATTATACTGTCATCTCTTTGCAGAGGGTTCTTGTCTTCAGATCTCTCTGTAAAGCACAATATTGATGAACAACATAACACGTCTTCTCATCAAGTGACACACATTGTACTGATGTGGCTTTTACAAAAAATCTGTAGGTTCAAGACTATTGCAAATGTATCCCACTGCTACACTGTGTACAATCTGAATTTCCTTCCTGATAGGCAATTATAGTTAAACTTATAGTTAAACTTAGACACTTAAAAAAAAGTTAATTAAATGCCACTAGCACACAAACACTGAATATGTTTAATTGAAAACATTGCCATAATGACTTCTTGGGAATTTTAAATCGAATAAAACACTCCCAAACAATGAACTCAAGATTCAGTCACCAAAAAATACTTTTTAAAACAGCTCTTCTATAGTTTATGATCACAATTCACTCTAATGGAACACTTGGGATCCAGGTTGAGAAATAAACCTCCCCTTGTCAGAGATTTGCAAAATAAAGTTCTATCAATCTTTGCAAGGCAGAGTCATACAGACTGGTCACTTGCTACAGCTACTAGCAGACAACCTGAGCAGTGGCTTTTGCTCTGGAGGCAAAGCACTGACACACATCTTCATGTAGCAGTTCCCATTCCAATTCCCAAATCCATTTCATTCTTCATCTATTCTGGTGGCCTTTTGAACCAATTGAAAGAGTTCTGTGGTCAGCCGCTTGAGCACTACTGTCTACGTCCACATCCAGACTAAAAGCAGGGGAAATCATACTTGTAGTATACAGACCGTCTTAGAGGAATGCCACCCCACAGAGAAAGAAAGAGCTATGTTTAATTAGAATGTGTATAATCCACACCTAAAATTAATCTCCCAGTAATATTAAGTGTCTAGTTAATTAATTAACTAATCAAAGTGTCACAGCAATCCAGAGCCACTTGCACAAATGCACACCAGACTTTGAAAGTTAATACGGTGATCACTTCAATAAACATGCTAACAATAATTAGGGATCCCTTTAACACTGCCTATTACTTGCAATACTCCCGAAGGCTGACATTGGGAGGTTGCAGGATAGATACTGACATGTTTTTTTGTTTTTTTTAAATGGCCATCGTGGAGAAGAAGATTCTCTAGGGAGCAGCCTATGCTGAAAACAGCTCTCACACTTAGGTCAACTTCTTTCACCTGATATGAACAAGGTGAATGGGGTTATAGGAGTGCCGGGAGGTTCCACTCTTCCCGCAAACTGAGCATACTGCCCCGAATGCCTCCAGACTCCACCAGCCCAGGGAGAAAGAAATCATGCTCAGAACTTGTCAAGCTACCCACAGAACTACTCACATGTTTTAGTTTTAAGAATTAGAGTTAATAGTTCAGGATTAAGCCCCTTGATATCAAGAGCTACCAGATTTTTTTCAGAAAGTCTGACTCCGTAGCAGGACTCAGGGTGACTGACAGTCTTGCTGGGTCCTGGGGCAAGGTCAGGGGGGAAGAGGGAGCTCTGTGCTCCCTGTCAACAGGCCTGAGAGGATGGCAGAACTTAAAGTAGTCACCAAACTACCTATATCATGTCTGCCCACAAGCTCAAAGAAAGTTTGACCAAACTTGCTCACACAGTACAATGATGTGTCATTTAGCTGTACCAGAAAATGATTCCTTGAAACAAGCAGTTTTGTCTAACTGGACTAAGCCATGTTCTTATAGGAAGAGAAAATTATTTACTCACAAGGAAAGCATCATGAAGAGTGGTTTCCATAATCATAACTATGCCTTCAGTATTATAATGACCTGTTCAGATCTAGAACTCCCATTTCAGAAAGCAAGTTCAATTTGTACTGGTAATACAGGCATCTTTTCCTACTGTGTTAAAAGAATGCAAGCATATGGCTATCTGCACATACTTGTGAAAACATACTGCACTGCACATCCAGAAAAGAACAGATGCCTTGATTAGTCTAGGTAGTTACAGTCTTGCCTTCTTTGCTAACTAAGAAAGATTTAGCCAGCTGCAGGTTACAAAGACATTTTCACCTCCCTCCACATTACTAGACCACTCAGAAAAGAAGTGTGATGAGTTAGGAGAGAGGTGCTATGATAACAAAGGAATATTAATTCTTGATTCTAGAATGTTCACTGCCACCTTCTCACCTGTCAATAAGGTGGCAAATGTGACCTATGAAGGCAGCTCACCAGCTCCTTCTTCCTCCTTACCAATGCACATCAGGCAAGCAATCACCCTGCAACTGATGTGCAGAAAGACAAAGAAAGCAATGTCTGACGTTTCAGAAATAGCACAGAATCGAGCTGACCTCCATGTATTTTGAAACCCTCGAGGGGCACAGAGCTTGCTCCTTTGCCAATGTGGTTCAGCATATCTTCTGGGATGCCCGTTGGAGGACAAGTCATGCTCTTTGGTTCTCCATCTAAATTAAAAAATCCTGGAAGGAGAAATGTTATAAGGCACTCTGAATGAATAGTGGCTTCTAATTATTAAGAGAACCTCTACAATACCTGCAATAAAAATCTACGATAATTTTACTGTTAAAAACAAACACTCTTGAAAACGGGTGGACATTTTAACAGCCAAGAGCAATTTGCACACTTTTTAAAATTAGGGAACCGGTTATTTCCAGGCCCTATAAAAAAACCAAAACAATTCTTGATCTCACATGCATGGCTCTTTCATTTTCTGTTTTACTTCAACTTACTGACAGTGAAATTCAACTATGTGCAAAGAGTTAGCTAGCACAGGCACCTGCCCCATTTCACACCTACTTAAGCCGTGAAAAAAAGAGGTGCATAGAGGTGGAATTTCCCTCTGAATGAATAAACACAGGTAACATTATAGATAAATCATTTGTTAATGTGTCTCACAGGGGTAGCTGTTTTAGTCTGTAACCTTAAAAACAACAAGTAGTCCTATGGCACCTTAGAGGACTACTTGTGGCACTACTTAGAGGACTACTTGTGGCACTAACAAATATATATAGGATCATGAGCTTTTATGGGTAAACCCACTTCAGATAATAGTTAATAGTAATAGTTAATAGCAGATTGAAAAAAAGCTCTTATTCAAGTGATAAGGGGTTGCTTTTTGCCACATTCATTCCTAAAGATGTACTGACAACTGCACTTCTGCCAAACTGTTTAGACTTCCTTTTGTTCTGCTAACATCTGCAATGTAAGAACTGAATCCTTCACTGACTCAAAGGTAGCAAGCCCAAACAGCATCAACCAGTGTCACAATACTAGGGTGTTTGACGGACTCTTACCAGGCCAAGGTGAATCGAGCCAGTGCTTAATGTGTAGAATTTTCTTATCCTTTGATCTAGTATAAGCTTCTTCGCAGATTTTGTCATACTTTGCAATTTCTTCCTATAGAAAAAGTTTCCATAGGAAATAATTAGAGATTTAAAAAACACCAAAAATCCAACACTGCTTAACAAAAGTGTATAACATTCCAAAGCAATGGAACATCTACATTATAGCACACAAAACTCCAGTTTTTCCTCTCAGTTATGCCATTGTAAACTTAGAGTAACTATTTACTTCAGTCTCATTGATGGAGATTCATTCAGCTCAAACACTCTTCGAACACATTTGTCCATTGCTTAAACCAAAGTCACCCTGCTATAATGTAGATTTTCTTTGGGTAGATTCTGTAGGTGAAAGATCCAACACTATAATTGTTGATGGTAGTCCACATCATGATATAATAAAAGCTTCAAAGCAGCACATACAGTTTATTGTCATATATATGGAGATTAAGACTATCCAACTGCCTTTTAATATTACTATAGCAAAAAAAAGAAGGAACTCCCCATGCACCCTGTGTAGTTTAGGAATATAACTGTGTACATGCATTATTTGGGTACTGTAGGCAAATTGGCTTGAAGATATTTCGGCTCCTAACTTCCATTAATTTCAGTGGCAGTTAAAAACCTAAACACCTTTATGGATCTGAGCCAGCTCCTTAATTATTAGGTGCAGTTCTTGCCTGAGGCAGGATATCGCCATGATCTTTGATTCAATCTAGAACGGTATATTCCTAAAACACTGGAACACAGCCTCCCCGTGCACTGCCTTGTTTTACAGTGCTATTACTTAGAGCACAGACAGATTCAATGCCAATGAGGCACAAAACTAACCAGTTTGTTATTCTGCTTTGAGTAAATGTCAGCATATTGCATATAACTGCCACTTACGTAAGATGCTCCAACAAGAAGCTCCTATAACTAAATATGCTGTAGATATAATCAAGACTATTAAGATACCTCGGAACTGGTGCACTCACAGATTCAATGCAGGAAGGTGAATTCTAGAGTCTCTTTAACCATACTAATTTGCTATTTTCAAAGGCTGCTGAAGCACTGACATAGCCCACATTAACAGTTTTAACAACCCTGCGTTATCATCGTATCAGTCTAACACAGGGATGGAAGACAGCTGACAAGTGGGCTGATGGGCCCTGTGTTTACCTGAGCATCCTCAGACACAGAGCCCTGTAGCTCTAAGTGGCCACAGTTTGCTGTTCCCAGCCAATGGAAGCTGCAGGAAGTGGTGGCCTGCTCCATACCACTTCCCGCAGCTCCCATTGGCCAGGAACAGTAAGTCAGGGCCACTGGGAGCTTCATGGTCTCAGAATTAAGAACCTGTTTTTCTGGCTACCATGTATCATTTTAAGTAGTATACAGCATTTCCAATCCTCATAGGTTGACAGCAGCTACGTACATAGCACATCAACAAATCTCAGCTTCACCAGTAAGAGACAACCCTCCATTTAAGCCTTATATCAGGTGAACAATGAAAATTAAACTCATCTCCAGCCACACACCTCACCAGCAACGCTGTTATACTGTGTCACATAAAATAGAACAGAATCAGAAAAAGACACAGAACGAAGGCTACAAAGTAAAGAAGCAAAAGGTAAGTAAACAGCATTTCCCCCTTATTTTTAATTCTAAAATCCTATAATTTATTCCTTCACCTTCTTCAAACAGCATCACAAACAGCCTTCTACTCTGCTGACATAATGTACCTCAAACTCCTGCAGTGTTACAGTCCCATCTGCAATCAGCTTGTCAGCATACTTCTTCAGCACTGGTACCTGCTTGTGAATCTGCTTATACATCAGGGGCTGGGTGAACATGGGCTCATCCATTTCATTGTGGCCTCTCCTTCGGTAACAAACCTACACATGGAAGATTCAAATCTATCAATAGTGAGAAACATGAAACCAATCTCTTAACCTTTCCCACTTTTGTATGGGCTTAAGGCATTACAATTCTTGCTTATCTAGAAGCAAAGGAACATGAAAATAAACGTAAGTCTCATCAAGGCAAGGGCTCCATCTTACTTTGGGCAGCATCTAGCACAATGGGGCCCTGGTTCTCATCAGGTCCTCTAGGCCAGCAGTTCTCAGCTGGGGGTCCATAAACTATGGAGAACCACAAAAACAGGACTCAGGAGGTCTGAGAAGCATGGTGAAGCCCCAGAGTCTCACCACAAAGTCCAGAGCTGTGCCACCTGGGACTGAACTGAAGCAAGTGAGCTTTGTGGACATCCCGTGACAGGAGACCTAAGGCAACTGCCCTGATTGCCCCAGCTCTTATATGTATAAAAACAGCTGCTGAAGAACAGGTGGGCCATTCAGTTTTTATAGCATGTTGGAGGGGTGTGTCCTGAGCCCCTGCTCCAGGCACTAATACAATACAAGCAGTAGCACTGAAGCCAGACAAAAACAGGGATGAGCTCAACAACGTACATGAACACAGTAAGAAATATGGCATTACGACTTATCTTAAAATATGCAAAGTGAAGAGTTAGGATAAACCTAGAACTTACTAAATCCACAACCACGTCTTTATTGAATGTGTTTCTCCATTCTGCAGCTACATTGCACACGTGCATCACTGCTTCAGGGTCATCAGCATTCACATGGAATATGGGTGCATTGACCACCCGGGCAACATCTGTAGGATATGGAGATGAGCGAGCCATGCGGGGATCAGTGGTGAAGCCAATCTAAGAAAAAAAAAACAAGTTTGTTAATAAAGAGGGAGAAAGAGTTTGGGGGTTTTTTGCTTTTGTTTTAAACGCCTGAAATCTTTGCTTTATACATAGTTATTTACATGACAGTAATTACAGGCCTTTCAATTTGGAAGGTAAGTGTTGAGGAGTCTGCACGGCTTTCTCTGGCTTGACATGAGTTCTGGCTAAGAAGAAAGGCCCTGTTAAGTCTGATGCTAGTAAGCATGCAGGCAGGCCTCAGGCTGAAGCAAGTATGTGGAAATGTAACTTTTTGGCCTCGGTCATGGGGTAAAGGCCTGACCATAAACTGCTTAAAGCGCTGAAACTGCTACGTTCGTGCCCTCAGTCATTGGGCAAGGTCTACTAATAAGTTGCTTAAACTGCTGAAATCATTAAAGTGTATACCATTAAAAACAAGCATGATCAAAATTTCCAGAATTATTATGACGCGGCTTATAGAAATAAGGGATGACACAAAAGGCACACCCCATATTTTACGAAAGTGCTTACCATAAAAGGGGTAAACAACTTAGGATAATGGCATAAATTAAAGATTGAACAAATAATGTTAAGTAAAATGAGTAGCATATCTAAGGGTATTAGAATAAAGAAGTGCTCATTGCTGGAACACCACATAGCAACAAAGTGTGAAGCAACCGAATCTCGCTTGTGTAAAGGATGCTTCTGCACACATGTGCTTTGGGAGGGAGTAACAGAGTGGACACGAAACTCTGTTCACGTAACCACAAGTTTGGGGTCTGTTCATCCACATCATGCAGTCTAAGATGTCTCAGCATGTGGGAAGGAACAAGACCACGACCTTCTATCCAGTGAGTGTTGGGGATCAAGGCTGAATGGTAAGTGCTTCAGGCTTGAACACTGTAGTATAGCTAGTTTTACATTAACTGCTTTGCATTATAGATATAATAGGCTAACCCTCTTTAAAATCTATAGGAAACAAAACTATATTGCATAGTAATAAGTTAGCCTATAACGAATCATAGCTAAAGCCTATATTGTGATTGTGCTGTGTTTATCTGTCTTGCACTGCTAATGGGAATTGTATTGACTCTTCTACTTGTAAAGTTCTTTGGTTATTGTAATTGCTTGAACTTTCAATAAAAAAAAATAAGTGGTTAAGTTTAAATCTCTCTCACTGGTCTGTCCTGATAAGCCTGAGCTTATCGGGTAGTCAAATCAACTACTCACTTTCCCCCCCCCCCTCCACTTGCTGCCTCTGTATCAGAGGTAGCAATGGGGGGTTGTGGGGGAGAACAGGAGTTGGTGCACCAAAGCAGCACATGTCAGATTCTCTGCCTGCAACACCCCAACCTCCACACTGCTGCAAAGCAGCCTCTGCCTGCGGTGGGCCCAGTCCCAGTCACTGAGAACAGGGGCTGCTATTAGAGGAACCTCTGCCCATGGCCAGCCTAGGAAGCCATGAACAGGGGCTGCTGCTGGAGCAGCCTTTGTTCATGGTGTCCGGGGCTGGCCACGGATAGGGGCTGCTGGATCTGGCGCAAGCCAGGACTGAGCCCCTGCTCACTCCAGTCCAGGACTGCTGCAGCTCTGTATTTTACATGTAGTAAGAGCCACCTGGCTCTTGCTACATTTAAAATACTGAGCTGCAGCAGTCCCGGCTCCGTCCCAGCTCACAGTGGTCCGAGACATACCCCCGCTGCATCTCTGCACTTTGCTCCTGGACTGGCACAAGCCAAGACAGAGTGCCTTCCCTTACCGACTAATCATGTAGGCAATACAAATTGTACCGACTACGTGATTAGTCAATTACACTCCTCTGAACATTCTTAGTGCTGACTAATTTAAGGGTATGATCATTCCAGTCAATGAAAGAGGGCTTGTACACAATCTACCATGACAAGAATAAAACAAAGGAAAATATGGGAAGTCATTAAACCCAAACTGCTTAATAAATTTTGTTTTTCACCTGGTTATTGACCACAACATGAATAGTGCCATTTGTGGTATATGACGGGAGGTCACTGAGATGAAAGGTTTCATAAACCACTCCCTGTCCAGCAAAGGCAGCATCTCCATGTAGTAGTACGGACATGACCTAAGAGAAGAAAGAATTTTTTAAAAAGCATTAGGGAAGAAGAAGTTTAACTAAGTTCCTTGGGACATACACATTTTATTATGTTTTTTGAAAATGCCCAGCACCATATGATCGAGAAGGATTTTTATGAATTACCACAATTGATATATATTTTTTAAAAGTAAGAAATGCATTCACACTATTTTGCTTGACTCTCAATTGAGTGAAAGTTACAACCTGAGGTTTCCAAATTCAGAAACTAAGTTAATCAACCTACTAATCAAAGAATTAGGACACTTTACCCTGTGCTAATTTAAAATTACTAGGTTAGTTCCAAGACTAACATTTCCAATTACATAAAGAAACTTTTCTTTAAGTCACTGAATCTCCCACTTCTGCCCCTCAAAACTTTTGTAAATTGGTCTATTAGAAAAACACACACATATAAAACACCAGCAAAATTATCATAGTATGTTTGTAATTTTACCTTTTTCCCCGCTGTATCCCCTCTGTAAAACTGTTCAGCTTTGGTCTTCCCCTGAACAACAGGGTCAACTGCTTCCAAATGAGATGGGTTAGCCACAAGCGACAGAGTGATATTCTTATTTGTTGCTCGGTTGATCCTCTCGTGATACATTCCCAAATGATATTTAACGTCCCCAGAGCCCTACCACACAAGAGACAGTCAAGATTCATGTATACCAGCCACACACACTACTTCCAGTTCAATATCTAAAAGCTCCACTTCATATTGAAAACTGAATCTGGCTAGCTGTTACATGACATTCTGGATGATATTTTTTTATTGAAAATAATTTCAAATTTTAAACATTTGTTTCTGTTTCCAATACTCTGGTATCAGAATCCAACACTTAATAGTAAGTGAGCACTGACAACATCCTTGTCTCTGTACAAAACAGAGGAAGATGGCTGGAACTAACAAACTACATTAGAGGGGTACCCTGTGACTTGAGTAACCCTGATGATTGTTTAGAGTTAATGACTAGGCATCTTTCTGAATTTGTAAACAATAAAGTTACCAATGAAAGGATGGTTACTCACCAGGTACAGTAACTGAGGTCCTTCAAGATGGTTGTCCATGTAGGTGTCTGAGTGCCGCTGTGCTTCTAAATCAGAGATACTAAGTAGCAGTGATCAGGGTGAACTGCGCGTGCGGAGCTGTCTGAATGCGGCGTTTGAAACGGTTACTCCGCATGTGCAGTCAACCATCTCTTCAGTTCGTCCTCTGCCCCAGACATGGAAGATTCTGAAGCAGAGGGGAAGAAGGGTGGGTGGCAGTTTCCCTGTGGGTGCTCCATCTCAAAGAACCTTATTTACTGGACCAGGCGAGACATCTTCCTTTCGTCTTCGAGAAGTGTTGCTGTGGGTACTCCACCTTAGGTGATTACAAAACAGTAGTTGTGCTTGGTGGAGGGAGCTTCGGGAGACCTGAATCGGTTACAGAGAGTACTGTTCAGCCTAACTGAGTACTGGAAGCAGGATATGTCTGGCTGGCATAGTGGTTGGTAAACTTATATGTCAAAGCCCAGGTGGCAGCTCTGCAAATCTCTATCGATAAACCCTGGAGGAAGACCATGGATGCTGCCATTGCTCTTGTGGAATGAGCCTGTATGGTCGCTGGGTGCTCCTGTTGGAATATGCTATATACAAGATGTATGCATCCTGAGACCATCTGGATAGTCCCATATTTTGAAATAGGTAGACCCTGAGACATCTCTGGTTGAAATGAAGAGCCTTGAAGATTTGTGGAGCTTAGTGTGTTGTAGGTAAAATGCAATTGCCCTGCAGACATCTAAGGTATGCAAAGCTGCTTTCCTGCTGTCCTTATGAGGTTTAGGAAAGAAGATGTGTAAGTAAATCTGTTTGTTGAAATGGAATTAGGTAAGTACTTTCGGGAGGAATTTTGGGTGCGCACAAAAGACTTTATAAAAAGATAACATCCGTCATGAGAACCCTAACTTGCCTACTCTACGTGCTGATGTAATTGCCATGAGAAAGGAAACCTTCATCAAGAGATGAAGTAGCAGATGGCTAGGCGTTCGAAAGGTTTGCCTGTTATTTCTCTCAGCACTAAATTTAAGTCCCACACTGGAGCTGGGTGTCTCACTGGTGGAGACATATTGTGCAGGCCCCTGAAAAAGCATTTGACAGATGGGTGTGCGAAAACAGAATGACCATCTGGGGGGGACTGAATGCTGTGACTGCATCCAGGTGCATCTTGATAGAGCCAAGGGAGAGACAAGAATGCTTTAGACACAGTAAATACTGGAGAATCTATAGGCAGTCTATGGATGCTGGTGCACAGTTCTGTTCAGAGCACCATACTGTGAAATGGTGCCATTTATGTTTATACGTTTTTCTTGTAGTGGGTCTATGATTACAGGTTCATTATGACCTCCTGCACAGATGCAGGAAACACAGCTTAGTGAGGAGCCAGCCAGCCAGAAGCCATGCCTGGAGGTGTAGCGTCTGTACCTTGGGATGATGTAGCTGCTCATTCTGCTGCGTGAGCAGCAGGGAAGGGCCATGGTGGAGCTATGCTTGTTTATAGTAGGCACGGATACCATATTTGTCTGGGCCAACGGGGGGGCTATGAGAATGACCCTGGCATAAAAATGTTTATGTTGAACGGGTCCCCTCGAGTGGTGGCCTATCCCCATCCCGGAGAAATAGCTGCGGCACTGGGTGTTCAACAGGGTTGTGAACACATTCACTATGGGGAATCCCCACCATCTGAATAGAAGCATCAGCTCTGAAGGGTTGAGTTCCTACTCATGGTTCTGTAGAAAGTGCCTGCTGAGGTTGTCTGCCAGCACATTTTCTTTGTCCAGCAGATAGGTCACGATTAGGTGGATTTTTCAGGGGATGCACCATTCCCATAGATTAACCACTTCCTGGTAGGATAGGGCCTCACCCTGCTGGTTTACATAAAATATTGTGATGAGGCTGTCCATGAGTACTTGCACAGTTCTGTTTTAAATTAAGGTGAGGAAGTGCAAACGGGCATTGTGAACTGCTCTGAGTTCCGACAGATTGATGTGCTGCCTGGCGTCTTCCCGCAATCACTGTGCCTGGATGACCTGGTGGTCTAGGTGAGCTCCCCATCCTATCAGTGATGTGTCCATACAATTGTTACAGATGGCTGTGTCGGTTGGAAGGGCACTCCCTTACAAACACTGTTGCACATGGTCACCCGGACAGAGTTCTTTATTTTGGAGGGCATAGTGAGCTGTTTGTTTATATGGTGGCCGTGTGGTCTGTATACAATGCATAGCCATGCCTGCAATGGTTTCATACAGAGGAAAGTGTATGGTACCACAAATGTGGCTGCTGCCATGTTTCCCAGAAGTTGAAGACACTGTCAAGCTGTGATGCACAGACTCGCTTGTGGTAATGATAGGAGATCCACAATTGCTGATAGGAAATCCACAATTGTTGGTAGGGATGCTGGTTCCATGAGGCAGTCCAAGTGAGCCCCTATGAATTCCAGATGCTGAGTGGGAATGAGCATGCATTTATGAATATTTATCTGAAGCCCCAAGGTATCCAATAGGGCCCTGGTGTTGATACTGCCTGTTGTATGTCATGTGCTCTGGGACTTTTCAGTAGGCAATCATGTAAGTATGGGAAGATGGTAATTACCATTTGTCACGTGTGCTGCCACCACTGCTAGGACCTCAGAAAAGACCCATGCGGCTGCTGAGAGTCCGAATGCCAGCTCTGTACTGGAAGTGGAGGTCTCGGATGGTGAATTGGAAGAAGCATCTGTGTGCTGGGTGTATAAAGTTATGAAAATAGGCATCCTGAAGGTTGGGGGTAGACGGCCAGGCTCCTTTCTCCAAGGTAGGAATTACAGTGGCTAGGGTTACCATTTTGAAATGCTAAGTTTGAATGAACTGATTGAGTTGTGGAGGTCCAGGAATGGCCTGCTTCCCCTCGCCTTTTTGATTGTGAGAAAATAATGGGAGTAAAATCCCTTGCCCCTGCAGTCTGGTGGTACATGTTCTATAGCCCTTAGTTGAAGGAGATGGTCCAATTAATGCAGGAGTACCTCTTCATGAGAGGGGTCCCTGAAGAGGGACAGGCAAGGGGGTTGGAAGGGAGGGGTTACTGAAAATGGGATGACCTGTTTGAAACAGTAACCTGTTTGAATAATTTCAAGCACCCATCTTTCAGCAGTGAGGTTGTGCCACCCTGGATAAAATGAGGCTAGTCTGTTGCCAAATGTTGTGGATGAGATGATTGCTGCTATGGAGATACTGGAGCTGTCAGACCTTCAACCAACACTTCAAAAGGTCTGACATGAAGTGGATGGTTGAGGGGCTGATGGCTGGTCAAACACTTGTCTTAGCCTATTCTGCCATGGTTGGTTCCTGTTGTATTGCCTATGTTGTTGGTTAAAAGGCGCTGCTGGTCTGTACCTGTGTAAACCACCTTTCCCTGCTTTCTTTTTGTGACAGGGACATGGATGCCAAGCGTGTTTCATGAGTCCTTCAAAGTGTGGAGTGAGGTTTTGGTGGACTCAGTGAAAAGCTTAGTGCCCTTGAAGGGCAGATCTTCGACTATAGACTGCACCTCTCTGGGGAATCCAGAGAGTTGCCACCAAGAAGCTTCTGTGCGCTGGGTGTATAGCATTATGAAAATAGGCATCCTGTGCAGATGAGATGGATCTAGCTATTTGTCGGCCAAATCTAATGTGGCTTGTAGGACTGTTCAGGAGATTAGAGCACCCTCATTGACATCTGATTTAAATTGCTCTCTTGTTGTCTGGGAGGAATTCAATAAAGGTAGTCAGTAGTGCCATATAACTGGGGACTCTGAGCTGTAGAAAGAGTACACCTTACCCCCAAACAAGTCCAATCTTCTCCAGTCCTCGTCAAAAGGTGTTGTGCGGACTGTTTGCTGCCTACCCCACTGGTTAAAAGCATGCACCACCAGAGAATTTGGGGTAGATTGGGAGAAACAGTAGTCTTCCCCTTTGGGGGCTATGTAATACTTTTTGTCCGACCTTTTGCATGTCGGAGTTATTGTGGGTTTTTCTGGCTCTATCACAGGGAGTGTGAGCCTAACATGCAGTGAGGCACGAAGCATTTTTGTCAGCTTATGTTGATTCTCCAGCATGCTTGATAATGGGATTGCCAGGAAGTCTGCCACTCTTTTAAAGAGCTTCTGGAGTGACTTAAAATCATCCCCCACAGTTGGAGGTGGTTTATGATTGAGTCATCAGGGGAGGAGAATAACAGTGGGTGGAGGAAAGTCAGGTATTTGCTTCTCTTACATCAGCCTCCTCTCTCCTCTCCCTCGGAGATGGATTGGTCAGGCACCTAGGTGGCAGATCCCTGAGACCTGGGTACTGGGGTAGGTTGCTGCGGCTGTTGTGGTTGCTGTGCCCAGTATGCAGCCCGTGGGTCCCAATACAGCCAGTTGGGAAGGATTGGTGGCTGCAGACACTGTGGTGATTGCCACTGGAGAGGCTGTTGGCTTGACATGGCTTGGCAGAAGAATGTCTTGGAGTATGTACCTTCAGAGGTCCGTCGTCGTCGTCACTGGACAGTGGTGGAGCTGATCCTGCTGGAGTAGAAGACAAACTAAAATGGGATGTATTTGGGGTGCAGTTGGTGACAAGCAATAGCGACCCCAGCATTGAGACCACGAGATCAGTTCTGTTGGTGAACATTTGCAGTGCTAATCTAGTAGGCAGTGGCGCCAGTACCAGAGCAACTTGTGGCAATATAGGCGTAACTGCTGGTGCCAAAAGCTTACCATACACCAGCAGTGTAGTCTGCTTTGTATGCCAAAGGTGTCCGATGTTTAGGTAGCAGCATGATGGTGCTCAGTGACGATGCTGAATGTTGTCTGGTCAGCACCATGGTCAGTGCAGGTAGTGCTTTGGCCTGTGCCGACGTCCAAGGCTTTTGCTTTGCCTCTGTCCGTGCCTTGGAGAAGGATTGAGCCTTCTCCTTAGAGCCTCAGCCCCCATCAGAGTCAGACTTGCCAGATGCTTCCTTTTCCGGCAACTTTGGTGCAGCCGGTGCTGGGGCAGCTTTCTTAAGCAGAGAGCATTTCCTCAAGGGGGAATCAGCCCCTGAAAAGGAATGGGATCTCTTCTTGGGCACCTGAGCCCTATCAGAGTCTGTGGGGCTCATCCTTTTGGGAGCCACGCCTCAGAGGCCACATCAGGAGATGGTTGCCTGGGCAGTGTAAGGTGCAGAAGCAGGTCAGACTGTTTTCTCAAGAATCATGATTTTTAGCTGTAGCTCCCTGGCTTTCCTGGTCCTTGATGTGAGTTTCTTGCAGTGGGAACACTGGGCGGCAAAGTGCTCCTCACCCCAGCAGCAGACACACTGGGAATCTGTCAGACAGGAATGGACAGTCTGCAGGTTATATACACCCTTTAAAGCCTGGTGAATCAGGCATGACCCAAGAAAAAAAGCAGTTCCTGGAATGCAGGAACCTTAAAAGCTTAGAACTAACTCTAGTTGTCCTATAAAAACATTTTTTTCTAACTACACTATTAGTTGTGAACTGTTAAACTGAGAAAAAACAGGAAACTGCAATTAATACATAGCTATCTGAAAACACTAACACTTGAGGACAGCTGCTGGGTTCTAACCAAAGCCAACGGCAATAGAGAAGAAACTGAAGGGACAGTTGGCTGCACATGCAGAGTAGCAGTTTCAAAAAAAGCGCGCCGGATGCTCCACATGTGCAGCTGACTGGGGGCACTGCTACCTAAAAATCTCCGACTAGAAGCACAGTGGTGCTCAGACACCTAAGGTGAGCACTCATAGGGACACTTCTTAAAGAACAACCTCTGATTCTGATCATTTAAAAATATGCACTTTAATAGTTCCTAGTACTGTATATTTTCATGGACAAGAGCACCCAGAACAACTCACTATCCATAGCCTGAACTTATCCTCTAACAATAATAAGGTTTCATGTCATCCGCACCTCATCCGCTGCTTCAAGTTTTGGATCAAACTGACAGAAGATCTGCTCCAATTCCTTTCGGATGACATTGGCCAGTACATTCAACCTACCTCTAAACAACAACAGAATGTTCAGTGATGAAATATTACAAAGCAATTTTGGAAACTTATAAGTATTATAAATATTGAAAATACTGTATCTTAATCTCCAGCCACACTACACATCCCACCCTTCCTATAGGGACATCAGAGTATCCCTACTGCATCTCTATTAGCATTCCATAGTGCCTAGGTATTGAATCACAAGCTAGAAATTTTTCTTTTGTGGCTTTCTATCACAACTCTAACATCCCACCAGTAGAGTGTTATTATCTAGACCAGCTACATACAGATGAGAGACTGGAGGAGTTTGGGGAAAACAGGGCACCATATTTTGCCTTTAGAAACACATGCACAGCTACTCTCATGGATACCCAAGTGCAGGCAGGAAATGGTCCTCTGAATATACATTTTAATGAATGGTTCTAGCAATAAGACACAGTGAGCTACTGCTGCTTGCTTCAGTCATATTGTGGTGGCAGAAGGTCAAAAGATGCACTAGCAGCCAACTAACAATCCCTGGAGTGGCTTGTACAGCTCTTCATTTTACATTTCTTGATTTTTTATTTAAGCTAAAACAAAACTACACAGTTTTGTGAAGTTAATGTATCATTCCATGATTATGAAAAGCAGCTCCTAGTAAAAGGTTATGAGAAAATAGTATGGAATTATGAACCCTTTCCCCTTGTTTGAGGAATATATTGTTTGCTAATTTTTCCTATCCCTTTTTTAAATTTTCCTTGAATTATATGGAGCTGTTTTCTCACATACAAGAAAACAGACTATCCTTTCAGCAAGCATCTGTGACTCAGCAGCCATGTTTGGGGGATGAAAGAGGGAAGGAGAGGGGGAGACAGAGCACAAATGAAAGTGTGAACAAAAAGTAGACTTGAACCTGGGATGCAAACAGAAATCCCACAAACAAATGAGCATCTCAACTTCTAAATAAAAGAATATTTCCCTTTTTAAATTATTCTGCCCTTTACTGTTTAAGATCTTAAGTATAATGCTTGCCAGACTTATGTGCTATTATAAAAGCAGGTCCTTGATTAGTCTCCCACTGTGAAAGCTTTAGCCCCTCACTAGCAGAGAACTCCCTTAAGAGTCAGATATTGATACTCAATATATCCTTTAGCTGGGATCAATATATCCTTTAGCTGGGATAACTAATCAGCTTTACCAGCCTCTCTAATCATATCATATTCCCAGTCTCTGACCCCAAACCCTAAAGCAGCGTATATCACAGTGTTCAAATAAGCCCATTATTATTTGCTTTTTTTGTTTTCAAAGAACAGTTACCTGTGAGGCATCCCCATTATTACATATTCAACTCCCATTTCACTGGATTTGTCAATGATGGTCTTAAGAGCAGGAATCATAACTTCACATCCTTCCAAACCAAAGCGCTTCTCTGAAGACCACTTGCGGGCAAGGAAGTCTTCAAACCTTGCCAAAAGAGGGAGAGAAAAACAGTAAGAAAGAAAATGAAACAGACTGTTGATTTTGAAATAACTGAAGGGCATTCAGACAAGTAATACAAGATTCCCACGGTAATTTTAGAGAAGACTTTTCAATAGCTACTCATTTTTCAAGCATGAATTTTACTGGGGGAAAGTAAGTCTATAAAAAAAGGAAGGATTTCTCTCTCTTGCACTATTGCTCACCTTTAATATTTCTCACCAGCACTTTGAGATTCAATCCTGATACTTTGAAAATATTATGGACAAAATCAAAGCACAGAAATTTCTGCATAACCTCAAATTTTGGCTTTTCTAGTCTGCTCTCACTACGTGAAGTTCCCACTGATTACAACAGGGAAACATCTCTCATGCTGGCAGAATGTCAGAAGAAAACATCATCTTGGAGATCCAAGAGGAGACAAAAGAGAGTCCCATGTCTTCTGGAAGTTTCAATGAATAAATAAGGAAAATGGCAATATAAAAACTTGCATCTGAAAACGTGCAATTCCAGGGGAAATCTTGGAAAAGCTAGTCACTAGCACCAGTGTTCCCTCTAAGGTGCACACCAAGAATTCAGATCCGCCCACCTCCTGAGAAGAGCTACACTATGGCTGCTCAGTTTTTCCAGGGCAAGGCCAAGTGGGGACTGTCCCATTCCAGGATCAGCAGGGCAGCCCCCACATGACCCTGGCCCTAGCTTCAGCCCTCTCTCAGGACTAAAGCCACGGGCCATGTGGTGGGTGGCTTCGGTGGCCCTGGCTGGGCCAGAGTCGCAGTTGAGCCCAGTAGCCTTCCCAGGAATTGAAATTAGGGGGGAGGGTTCGAATTTACAAGAGGGGGTGTCAGGGCCAATGGAGGGGTCAGACCGTGAGGGTGAAGGTGGACTGTATGGCCCATAGTTCACAAAACTGGGGGAGGTGTTGGGGAAATTCAGGGGGGGTATACACCCCATGGGGGGGGGGGGGGTAGGG